AAAAAAAAAAAAAATATTACAAAAAAGTTCAGGGATAATGTCTAAGCAACTGTTAGGTTATCATCCTAAAACACACTACACTATATTACACTATGCTATACACTAGAACGATCTAGAGAACTTAGTGATATTGAGTAAACCTGTTTAAAAGTGCACCGATAATTCTTTAGCTGCTCATTTTTAAATGAAATATGAGAATTCAGTCTGCTTTACTTCTTTTGATTGTAAAGTATAATCATAATTGCTTTCTTTCAGATATTTTCATATGATCTTAGAAAAACCACTATGTTTTCTAATTTCAAATAGCTTGTTTTAAAAATCCTATAATATCATAAAAACCTTTTTGCACCATTTCAAATATATGCAGTACTTTTTTAATGCTTGGAGGTCACAAAAGAACTATTCTCATGTAACTTCAACCTGTACTCTTAACTATTAAACACTGAGAAGGAAATAAATAACCACCCTTGTCATCATGCCAATATTATCTAACTACCAATTGTTTGACATTTCAGTCTTCTAAAAGCCTGTTTTATTACTGTATGGATGGTGAGAAAAAACAAACTTAGGTTCTTTGTTTTCTACCACAACCAAATCAACAGTAGTTCAGAACATATCTAACTTTCACATTCATTATTTTTACATAATATACATATAACAGTGATTTCATTATTTGCCCTCCCCCCCCCACATACACACATCTCAGCTCAAATAGTATTTTCCATCGTCTTTCTATATTAGGCCTTAAAAAGTCATGTTTACATAGCTGACAGGACCAAGTCCTGTTAAAACTTCTTACTCCTTGAAATCAGAGATTCCCAATATAAAATTATGGTTACTGATGAATATAAAAACTATAAAATAGATGCATACCTAATGTCTTAATAACAGCAGTACCAATTAATATAAATCATTAGCATAGGTTGATTAAATATAAGTCACACTAAAACATAAACGAATTGTGGAGAAATGTGTAATTGTTAAGTGTATATGGTCAAACTTACCCCATTCTAGAAATTCCAGAATATTCTTCTCTCTTCTCAAGGGTGAATTATTACATTCATCATAAAGGCAGATGAGTATATCCAACAAGGATTCCACACTAAAGCATTGCCCATTGGTCTGAGTTGGCCCATCCAAAATAAACTGTTCCAACTGTCTCAAGCGCACTTCTCCAGACATGGCTGCTTCAGTTCTTAACAGACTTTCCTTCTTTATTATTTTGTGCTATCTTTGACAAATCTAGCACATTAGAATATATTACAGTTTATAAAAAGAATTTTGAAACGCCAGTGCTTTAAAGATGGTGCTGAATGTATAATCCATCTCAGAACTGCTATTCTGAGAATTGTAACTTGGTCAGTCTGTCCACACATACATCTACAATATATACAGAGTATTACAGAAAAATAATTATCCTAAAATCTCTTTTAATAGCATTTAAAAGAGAAAATATATACTTTATACATTTAAATAATAATTAAAATTTAATCCCAAGACTGAATCCACTCTTCTGTCATCCATATAGATTTTTAAAGGTCTTCTCCTTCATTCGAAATTCAGATCATGAAACCCAATCCCGAAATGAATCCTTCTGCATCATTTAAGTGTAAAGTCCCCCATTCCATTTGCAATAACAATTCACTTTCAAGGAAAGAGCAGCAGGAAGAAAGCTATTTGAAGGTGGGAGGGCAAAAAATAAAAAGCACAGGATTCTGAAGATCTAGTGCTGGAGAATATCCACCACCTCCACCACCTTCTTCTCCACCTTCTCCACCACCTCCACCTCCACCTCCACCACCTCTTAGAAAATGCATTAGTGGCAACTCTTCAGAAAGTGGGGAGTGGGAAGAAGAGAGGAAGAAAAGTCCTCGGAAACAGAATGCTTCCTTAGGGCAATCGGTGCCACTCTTCCATTAAGGCTCTTCACCATTCCAAAAAATAATGTATAGTCTGTATTTCCTTAACCTCCCTCCCCAATATCCTGGGGAGGGGGAGCATGTGGAGGGGGGGAAGTCACACCCCTCTTTAAATATCGGGGAAAGTAATAATTGTCCTCTCTTAAATACTGTATTAGCACATCCAGTCAAGGGAAGGGTAGGCTGGGCTGGTAATAATCCTAGCAAATCCTCTCCATATCGCTGCACGTCCTCTAGCTCGTTTCTCTTGACAGGGCGACAGGATATTGCTTTTTTCAATCCACATACATCTCCCACTCCGCTTGCGCGCTTCCCCCAAAAGATGCTGCGCTGCTGCTGTTTTCTAGTGCAAGAGATGGAAAGATGCTGCCCGTCTTTCGGTCCACCATACTTAGGGCATCTTCTTCGAGTAGCGAACAGCGATAGACTGTACTCCCCCCCACTCTTTCCTCCGTTTCCTCTTCCTCGTCGCGGTTGTTTTCCTCCTCTTCTTTCACAGTCCGCCCTCCCTGACACCACAGAGCCTCCTGCATAAGCTCAGGCTGCTACTGAATTCTCCGGATCCAACATGGCGGCCTCTTCACCCTCCCTCCTAAAGCTCCGAGCGAGCGAAGCTGCAGAGAGGCAAACGAGGCTGCAAGCTGTTGGGAATGAGAGGGAGGGAGCGGAGAGCGCTGGAGAGATGCTTATACGGCAGCAAGGAATGCAGGGATACAGGCGGACCTGAGGGGAGGGAACAGCAGCCGCACGGAAACGCCCTGCGGGCTACTGCAGGACCAGGTTGCTAAGCTGTGTTTGGGGCTCCTCTGGCTGCGTCAAGCGCTGTCGCCCAACCCGCAAGAACATACCTGTGCTCTGCAACCCCATCTCGCCCTTGGGACTTTGAAAACTCTGTGGCTACTTGGCATTTGATCCAGCCGACGGCTTAAAAGCGCTTCTCCCACAATTTCTAACAGTCGCGGGTTGTTTCCCCCCCCTCCCCCGTCTTTTCTGCATTTTTAAAGGGAAAGTATTTGATGACGGGAAACTGGAAAGAACGCCCATTTTTGTCTTTGGAGATTCTCAGTCATCCAGGTCATTGGTTGTCCCAAAGATGCTTTTTCAAGAGGCAGCTAGACTTTCTTGTTTTTCTTTGAGGATGTTTCGCTTCTCGTCCAAGAAGCTTCTTCAGCTCTGACTGGAATATTAAATATTAAATGGAATATAAATCTTTCCATCCCCCACCATCCAGTCAGAGCTAAAGAAGCTTCTTGGATGAGAAGTGAAGCGTCTTCAAAGAAAAACAAGAAAGTCCAGTTGCTTCTTGAAAAAAGCACCTTTGGGACAACACCCATTTTTCTTCCAAAACTGTAAAGCTGCCTGTGATACCTATTGATTGATTGACACTTAGGTAGCGATAACAGAAAAAGAACATCTGATGTTAACAACCCTTTGCATCCCATTTCAAGGGCATGGCTGTTGAAAATTGGGATTGGTACAGTAGTTGGTCACAACCCTACCTCCTAGTTTTAACATTCCCATGCTACACACGTACTGAATCTTTTGCTGATGTTCTCTCCAGTATTTTCCATTTTTTCCACTTTTTACTTAATTTATCTTTTTAAAAATCAGTGTGGTTAGATAAGGAGTGTAGGATAGGATTAACGGGTCCAAGTCATGAAATTCAGTGCCTAACTTTGGATCAGTAATCCCCAATTTAGGATCACTATTTCCTCACTGCCTTCTGCATCACACTGGTTTGCAGTGACAAACAAAACTGGCAATATAATTTACATATAGATACAGGTGCAAAATCAACCTAGTGAATAAGTACAAATTCTGGCTGAATAATTCCCCCCCCCTTTTGGGGGGGCTTCTCTTGGTACCTTGTGTTCCCAAACTGTCTTACAATCACATTATGTGACATATTCACATGTTCCATACTGCAAAGATTTAATAAATCCATATATGTAAAGAGTGTTATATACAGTATATCAATTTTCAAAAAAGATTGTAGGTTATGTAGTGTGTCATGTAGAATTCTGTACTCAAAATATAGCAACTTTTGTTTCTCAGTCTGTACAGTAAATTAATCGATTATGGGTCTATCCCAGTGATGACAAACCTTTTAGAGACCGAGTGCCCAAACTGCTACCCAAAACCCACTTATGTATCGCCGGGTGCTGGGTGGGTGTGGCGCACTCGGGCGCAGTTACAGTGGGCTTGGCAGACTGGGTGGGCGTGGCCACTGGATGGGTGTGGCTGCAATAGTCATGGCAGATTGGGTGGGCATGGCCACCTTGATGTTGCTTATGGGGAGGAACATCTATGGGAGCCGGGCAGGGTTGGGGGAGATCCAGGGGGTCTCTGGCGGGTGGGATGATGGGCTCCCCAATGGCGGCTCCAGGCTAGCTGGCCTTAGGCCAGTGATGGCGAACTTTTAGAGACCATGTGTGCTGGGGGCGATGGCGTGTGCCCACAGAGAGGGCTCTGCGTGCCACCTCTGGCACGCATGCCATAGGTTCACCACCACTGGTCTATCCTATGGTTACTAGCACTGTAACTAACTCAGTCTGTGGCTAAAAACTTCCTGTTTTTTATATGGCTACTGGCCTGTCCCCTCTTCAACAGCCAGTCAGGAGGCAGAATAATGAGACATCTTTCCCAGAGATTATATTTGGGAACTGTTCTTCTACTTTTTCTTCTTACTGCAGATCACTGATCCTGCTCTCTTCTCAAACATTAGCATTTTTTTCCTGCTTCTGAGTATGATGGAAATGGTATAAAAACTGGAAGTATCCCAAAAAAATCAGGAGCTATGTATTCCTTAATATCATTCAATTTTCAACATGCTAAGAAAATAACAAGCTAACCAGTATGAATAGAATGGCATGGAAGATAAATTCTATGTCTAGTTGAGTTTAATTTTAGATTAGTGCTGCAGTTTAAAGCTGTTTTTTAAATAAGAACTTTAAAAACAGGATCTATGATAAGGTGATTAAGATTATTAATTAGAAAAGAAGCTTCACATTGATGTGGTTGTTATTTGTAGAAATACTAGAAAAATGTTTATATTCAATTGTTTATCTATTAAAATACTAAGAAATGTACTAATTTAAGGTTAATAAGTGAAAATATTATTGGAAGAAGAGAAAATCAAGAAAAGCTACTATCTGGATTACGGAATTATAGAAACTAATTGTTATTGATTGTAAATATAAACCCAGACAACACGCTGTTTACCAAATATTAAGGTGATTATGTTAATAAAAATTAATAAAATATATATTTTTAAAAAGCTGTTTTTTCCTTGTTTTTAATTTTGTCTATATTGATATGATGAAGCAATCAATTTGAAACATGAACTGATTTGGAGATTTGATGAAAAGATTCTCCTTCATTGATGAAAAGATTGCTTGAAAAGATGAATTCTACATTTTAAATGGAGAAAATGCAAAGAGAATCTAAATGCCTCTTCCCAAGAAACAAAAATACCAATAGAAGAGGCTATTGTAGCTCAGGGTTGAATTGTGGAGTCTTTGGTGCTCTTTGAGCTTAGTTGTTTTCTTGCAGACTTTTCATTACCTGACTAGGTAACATCTTTAATGCTACAAGAAAGTGAGGTTTGCTTTCTATTTGTATAACAGTCAAACAATGTGATGAAAATTCTTTAATTGCATGACATATGGACATACTTAGCCATAGTTAAGAAGTTCAGAAGCAGCTTTGGACCAGTGCAATATCAAGGCATCAGTTCTTTTCATAAAATGAATTTCATTTTTCTGGTTCCATTCTGACTTGTCAAAAACTAGAATAATATTTTTCTTTTGTAGCACTGCAAAATAAGTTTGTAAACACTGAGAGAAACCCTTGCCTTGCCTTGCCTTCCAACTTCTGAATTTATTTACAAGCTATCAATTCAATGGTCTTCTAGGGCAGGGGTCTTCAAACTTGGCCCTTTTATGACTTGTGGACTTCAACTCCCAGAATTCCTCAGCCAGCGTACCTGGCTGAGGAATTCTGGAAGTTGAAGTCCACAAGTCATAAAAGGGCCAAGTTTGAAGACCCCTGTTCTAGGGTAAAAAAAGTAGTTTGTTGGATTTGTAGGTACCTTCAGAGTTTGTTTTGTATATGATCAGATAGATTCACACAATGTAAACCAAACTCATTGGATAAGGAGGCATGCTTCTATCTTGGGGGAATAAAAGTGAGGGGATTTTTGTTCCCTCTGTTTTTCCATGACAAACAGTAAATTGGGCAGTGTTCAGGTAGAATCACTTTCTTTATGAGATGAACCTTCATTATGGAAAGTTTGAAGACTGATGAATTGGCTTTAACAATATTTTTCAAGGGTTCTGAAGCAGAAATTGTGGCCATTTAGAAGTGTAGACATTTGGTTTTCTTTTAATATCCTATTCTCTATTTTGTAAAAGAATAATCCACTCAGTATGGTTACTATCTAATATCACTTGAAATATTTACCTGTTTGAATTAAACTGTATTTCAATCAATTTATAAATTATAATTTTAGACATTTGCATAT